GAGGGAGGATCGAGGAGGAGAAGAATGAGGAGGAGGGACGATGGGAAGGAGGAGAAGGAGGACAGAGGAGGAGGGAGGAGGAGGAGCAGGGAGGAGGAGTAAGCAGGATGGGAGCTTCCCGCCGCCACGCCCGCCTTGGCCCTTGAAGATGGCCGGGGGCGCCTTGCTGGGTCCCTGCGCACCGATCTCGCCAGTCTGCCCAGCCTTGAAGATGGCCGGGGGCGCCTTGATGGGGCCCTGCGCACCGGTCTCGCCAGCCTGCCCAAGGCTCTCTCGGCAGCTCTTTGGGGCGCGAGGGGGGAGGGGGCGGCGAGGAGCTGGTCGTCGGGCCCGTCTCCCTCTCTCTCTCCCTTCCCCCCCTCTCCTCTTTACCTCTCTCTTCGCCCTCCCCTCCCACCCCCTCCTTTCTCCCTCTCCTCCCTCTCCTCCCTCCCTCCCTCCCTATCTACCTACCTACCTCTCTCTCCTCCCTCCCCTCACTTTCCTCCCTCTCTCCCCCCTCCTCCTCCCCCATAGAAACAGCCCTGGACCGCTCTGCCTTGGTGTCTGCTTGAGGTGCCTCTCCCTGTCTATGCAGTGGCTTTCCTTTCAGCTGTACCGTGCTGCAGTTCCATGCGAGTGGCAATGTTTGCCCGCAACCTTGGCGCCCGAGCCGACGCAGGGTTAGGATAGCAGCCCATTCCCTGCTTGGCGTGCTGAGTGTCGACTTTTGACCTGACCAGCCAGCGGTTGAATCAAACGCGCAGTCCAAAAATCCCTCCTCCTCCTTCCTCACCTCCTCCTCCTCCTCCTCCTCCTCCTCCTCCCTCTCCTCCCCCCCCTCCTCCTCGCCCTCCTCCTCGCCCTCCTCCTCGCCCTCCTCCTCGCCCTCCTCCCCCTCCTCCTCCTCCTCCTTCTCCTCCTCCTCCTCCTCGCCCTCCTCCTCATCCCGTCCTCCCTCGCCTCCATGAGGGGGGCGTCCAAGAGGGGGTTCGCAAACCATGGCCCGTGGCACGGGCGCGGCCCGGGACGGACCAGGGGACGCGTCGAAAGCAGAGGAGGGCCACGAACTCTGGGCAATCATCATGGCCCTGGCTATGACCCCTCTGCCCCCCCCCCCTCTTGGCCGCCGGCGAACCCTCCCTCCACCTGCCCTCTACCCGAGCCCACCGTCCCCTTGGCCGGGCCCAGCGGGGGCCAGCGGGCACGCCACGCTTCTTGGCGCGACCTGTTCTGCCAAGGCTCTCGCGGCGGACAGCCCACAAAAAGGCCCACCAAGAGGGGGCGATCTACGGTCGAGAACTTCTGCTTCGCGTGTCGCGGCGGCGGCCCCAGCGACACGCCACGCCTTGCGACATTGATAGCGTGTCGCTCCGCTCCGCGGGGCGGGAGGCTGGGAGGACGGAGCGTTAAAGCTTGGGTCTGGAGATGTGGTTGGCGGGTCGCGCCGAAGTGTGGTGGACCAGAACTGGCGGTGCCACACGCTAAGCAAAAGTTCCTCACGGTAGGCTTGGTTCGGGTTTTTCTCGAAATAGGAGATCTCGAACCAGCCCTGGGGAACTCATTCCTTTGGGGTATGGCTGGGAGTCCGTGCCCTCGAGGAGTAGGAGGATGACGAGCAGCAGTCGCAACGTCTGGGAGGCGAAGCCATGCTGCTGTTGGTTTTAACTGCGTTGAGTGTCGAGACACCGGCAGCGCCTCACGATGATGAAACTTTGAAGCCAAAGACAAATAATACGACCGCGTCATGCAGGGGGGCTTCCGCCGACGTGTCAAAGAAATATCGAAAACAGTCGCATTCATGTGAAGGCTCTGCTCACAGTGTCAAGCATCTAGAGAACAAGCCTACCAATTCCACGTGCTTAGCCTTGCATCGCCCTGCTGGAACCTTTGCGGACATTCTGACGGGAAGCACGTTGACAATTCCACTACAACGACTGGGATGCTAAATGATACGGATCACGCTCCTTCTGTCGATTCACGTGGCCCGCGTACCTGCATGTACGCCTGGCGGCAACACGATCTACACACGGCATTATGAAGGCGCCTTTTAGACAGCGGAGCTCCCTGTTCTGACGCCTGGCAGATTGCTCATGGGATTCAGAGGCTAAGCGGTGCAACCGAAGATGCTTACAAACAAACTAACTCCCCGTTGGCCCCAAACAACAAACTACCATGATTGCAAACCCATGCTCCAGCAGAGCACTGCTGGGTGCATCGGCATGTTTGATCAGTTAGGGTGAAACCTTGCTCTCAATGAATGTTCTTGCACATCAAAACGTGATCGGCACCGGCTGCATATGATCTGATCATGGCGGTGCTTCTTATGATGCGGAGGAAGGAGGGAGCAGGGGGCAGGGAGGGGAGGAGGGAGGGAGGGAAGGAGGGATGAGGAGGCGGAGAAGCAGGATAAGGAAGATAATAAGAAGGGAGAGGAGGAGAAGGAGGAGGAGAAGGAGGAGGAGACGGAGTAGGAATAGGAGCAGGAGTAGGAGTCTAGTTGGCTAGGTCAAGCGAGTCAGCGGGCCCCGCCTATTCCCACCCTCCCTACCACAGCACAAGAATCAGCAATGGCACAACTTGGTATTGGGATTGGAACGCGCTCCCACCTCGCAAACGGAAGGAACTCGCGCGCGGCCCCGCTTCACACGACTTGGCGAAGAGAAAACGGCGCGGGCCGCGCAGGGGCGGGAATGGCAGAACTGCCGATGGGCGCGGCGAAGACAAAGCGCGCGCCGCGCTGACACTGCATTGCCGCTCCCACTCGCAAGCTGCGCGGCCCTTGGGCGAGGTCGGCAGCTCGTCCGCTCTCGCGCGGCCCCGCTGCCGCTGCCGCTGCCGCATCCGCTTTGGCGAGCGAGCCGGGCCCGCGCTGGAACGCCACTTCAGAGCCAAGTGCGCACGGAGCCTGGGCGAGGGCGGCAAGTCGCCCACTCGCGCGGGCTCCCAGGCATCGGCGAGTGACGAATGTGCGCTGCGTCGAGGCGGGAACGCCACTTTCAGGCGAAGTCTGGGCAGCGCCGAGGCGAGAGTGATGTTTTCGTCCTCTCGCGCGTCGGCGAAGATGCGT